CCCAGAAGTTAGAGCGACAGGATGTCCGAATGGGCGAAGCGCAGAACCGTAGAGAAGTGGGGCTGGAAGAGGCCAGAGGGCCAACCCCTGCTCAGCGCAGGATTCCCTGTTAAAGCGCCCCTCTCATTTGGCTGTCCAAGCGCCCACTGCCTCCCTCGGCCTTGGGTTCTCCAACGGTTAGGAAATGCTTCCTGATCTGTGGCCGGGATCTGGCCTCCCCCGTAACTTCAGCCCAGTATTCCGTGTCCTGCACTCTGGGATGATTGAGACGGGACCCTGGCCCCCCTCTTTGTGGCAGCCCTTCAAGGACTTGCAGGGGGCCTTCTGTCTCCCCTCAGTCAAGGCTAACATGCCCAGATCTTGCAGTCTCTGCTCTCTGGGCTTTCTCCCGGATCGTCCTTGCTGCCCTCCCCTGAGCTCTTCCCAGCTTGCCTGCACCTTTCTTCAACTGTGGTGCCCAGAACCGGGCACAGGACTCCGGATGAGGCGCTGAGTAAAGGGGAACTAGCACTTCACAGGATTGGGAAGTGATGCTCCTATTCATTTATCCCAAAATAGCATTTGCCCTTTGTGTGGTCACATCACATGGTTGACTCATCTAAAGTTGCCTTTGGGATGTCTCCACAGGCAAAATCTCACTGGTAAGCCTTGGCTTCTGGGAAGTAAAATGGGCATAATAGTGCAGCCCTGACTGTGTGGAGCTTTGCAGAGACGAAGGGGGCTGGGCACCTGGGCAGCTGCAGGTGAGAATCCCCCTGCATTAAAAGTGTGGCATTTTAACTGCCTTCGTATTTCCTGTTGTAGATACAGGCCTTGAGTTGCGAGAGCTGCCCCTTGGTGCATCTTAGACCCTTGCAGAGCCTTGGTACAAAGGAAGGGTGGGCGGGAGGCGAGGAATTGGTGCCTCCGTCGAAGAGATGGCAGGCAAACCAGCCTGAAGCACGCCAGGGCCAGGGGCCGCGCGACCCCCTGGCCACGGGCTTCTTGGGAGGAAGCCATTCGGGGAGCGTAATGTGGAAGCCTGCCCTTGAGAGGGGAGGCAACAGCCTGCAGATCTTGTTACGGAGCCCAGGCGGGTTAGCGCTCGTGTTCTCTTCTGGCACATGGCGAGTGTGCGCACATGCGCACACATGCAGAGGTAGCAACATGCAAGCGTATAAATCACAGGGTTTATTCCAGCTGTTCTAGTTTTTCATGCCTCCGACAGCAGCTGGCCAGACTGCTCTAGAAAACTTGACAAGCAAGGTCTGTAGAGCTGAAGGTCCCCACCCCCCGTACAGAGGGCTACTGTATTTGCAGGGAAGGCTTTATTTAGCCCTTATGCCTAGCAGCCTCCTCCAACCGGACAGCCTGGCAGCTGGAGAAGGCCTACGGTTCCTGGCTCCCTGTTGCAGGAAGGGCATGCCGGGGATCAAGCCCCAGACCTGATGCTTCCTGGTGGCTAGATGAGGGTTGAAACCAAGGAGTAGCAACCTCGGCTCAGACCGGGCGCATCTCTGAGCACTTACTGCGGCTGACCCTGCTTCTGTGCTGGTGGTGAAAAGTGGGCTGCCGAGCAGTCTGCAGAGAACAGACGTGTGCTGCCCTGTCCAAAAGCTTCGTGGATGTGTAAGGTCATGGGCTGAGCTGCCATGCCTTCCTTCCTGGTTCCTTTTTCGTCCAGGCATGTTAGTCTTTCTTCATAATAGGAGAGAATGAAAGAGAGGAGGATCCAAATTCATCTTTCCCTCCCTGTTTCTCTGCTTCTTTTGGCTGCTGAGCTTTTGGTTTAGTCTGGCTTTGGTTTAGTCACAATTAAGACCTGCCCACGCAGTGCATTTTAGTGTTTTCAAACTGTCATGGTTTACTGGCTTGAGAAATGTACTTCTGCGAAGGGACTGGTGCAGAGAATTCTCTCGCGCTTGCAGATGTTTCTTTTCCGGAAGGATCTCAGTGGATGCAGCTGGGCAATGGGGAGTGGCTGATTTCAGCAGCGATTTGTCCCATGATAAGGAGGCCAAGGCTTCCACGTTCTCCAGGGAGTATTCTAAAACTTGCCACGCTAGCACGTCTCTCCGTCGTGCAAGAAGTTCGCTGACCGAGGGCTGTAAAGTAGCCCTGCCTTGATCGCAGGTTTGAATTGTGACTCAACAGTGAAAGTGGAAGAGTCCCCAGTCTGTGCTCGGGAGGTACCAAGTGTTGAAAGAAAGCCTGTGTGGCAGAAGCTCCGAAGGACTTTGGACATTGCGCTGTCTGCATCACGGGGAAGAGCAGTGTGTGGTGTTTCCGATTGTTGCATTTCTCAAGGTGCAGTGCCGACAGGCTGCATTTGGGCAGGAAAGGGCCCCATAGCTAGTGTGCACCTGAAGCTAGCACATTTTTCCCCGTGCGAGTTTCTCACCAGAGACGTGAGTCGCCGTAGTGCAAGAACCAACGGCAGGGGAGGTCACCCCACTCAGGAGGGACTGGCCCAACCCCTGTATCTTTTCCGGGAAGATACGGAGTCAGAGAAGAAAGCGAAACCTTTCTTCTCCAGATGCCAGCTTTACGAAGAGACACAGGGAGATTTTCCCTGTTGCTCTCGCTCAGTCTTTGGCATTCATTCCCGAACTGCACTGGCCTCGCAGTTTCTCCGGCGAGGGGTTTGCAGGGGTCTCGCCAGCACCTCTGAGGTCAGAAGGAGCCGTGGCTCGGGCTGCGTGTCTGCTGCATCAGAACAATGCTACTACTGTTACTATTGTGCCTTACATTTTTAGGCTACTCCACAGCCAAAGTCCGTAAAAACAAATGATAAAAATGCAATCAAAATGTCAGAATAATAAAAAACCATTAAAACATTTAAAACAACTACAAACTAGGGATAACAGCAAACAACACAAAGCATAATCAAAAGAGCGAGTCCGCAAGGCCAGGGAATTCCGCTCAGGCTGCTGGATGGCTGAGTAAATCCTCAAAGCCTTGGGAAAGAGCACCCAAAAGAGGACAGGCTTGGTGCCAGCCAGGCCCCAGTGGGGAGGTGATTCCATAGGCTGGGGCCACCACCAAGAAGACCCTCTTCCTAGTGGCCACGCTTCACACTTGTCTGAGCAGATGTTGGTTGGGTGAGGTGCTCTGACAGGTATTGTGGTCCTAAACCAACCTTGGGAGCCCCAACTCCAAGAAGCTATGCTCTCAGAGCTGGAACTCCAGAAAATCCTGTGGCCTCCTAGGCAATTTCAGGGGCCCATGGGGTGATTCTCTTAAGGGACTGGTTTAATTCTTGGGAGCATTTTTTCCTCCCTTCCTTTCAGAACTGCAACAAGAGTTGTTAATGGAGTACACTCCTGGAAAGGAAGAGCTCCTGCAAGAGCTTTGGATGTGTTGAGCAACCTTTGGGCACCTTTGGGCAGCTTTCTTAGTTCTTTTGGGGACTGGCTCTTCTTTTGCTTCTTGTAGAGGTGGTGGCCAGCCAGTAGCTTACCAGTGTGCCCAATAAGACCCTTCTGCCCTGGACCCCTTTCTTGTGAGGACCAGGATTCAGGGGAGAGAGAGCTATAGGTGTGTGGTCCACCTGGCCGCATCGTCCTTTCTCTGCAGCTTAGAGGCACACGGTACCAGGAAGCAGCAGAGCCTGTTGGTTTTTGCATTCTTCCCAAAATCTGGGTTAGCAGAGGAGACGGTGGGTCAAGAGGCGTTGATCCTTTTCCAGACTCAGAGCCAAATTCAGTCTGGCGTGGGGGGAGGTACAGTCCATCGGGGGCGGGGGGGGGGCAGGGCTGAAGCCAGAATGGCAGGTCCAAAATATGCTAGCCTGTTTTACTTTAAAGCTCTCGCTGCCAGTAACTCAGCCTTAGGAAAGGTATTTTAGCCTTTGAGAAGGGGGGAACAGCCAGGCACCAGTCCACCATTTCCCCTAAGAGCTGGGGACAAAGGGCAAGGGAAGGGGACACAGCCCTGTGGCACCCTGGCAGGCTACGCATGGCCCCCAGGGGTGGGCATTTTCCGCTTGAGTTCAACACCCCCAGTGAGGCGAAGCCTTTCTTCTCCTGTTTCCAACTCTGTGAAAAATGGCTGTGTCTTGTGGACCAAAACAGGGCTTTGCACCCACATGATGATGCAAAGATGCCTTCCCAGGTCAAAGAAAAGGCCTCTTGACAACCCCAGGCCAGTGGTGGCGAGCCAGCAGCGGGCGTGCAGAGCCCTCTGTGTCGGCACGCGAGCCAAGTCGCCCCAGCATCGCCCCAGCAGCCGAGCATCGGATGAGAGCACGCATAGGGGCCATGCGCATGCACGGAAAGGAGTAGAGGTGCCAGGCGATGATGGCACGAGCCGCAATACATTAGCCGCAACTCATCTGAGCTTTCGCATGGCCGGTCAGTGCACTGCCAAGGACACACACACACACACACACACACACACACTTGCTTGGACTGGCTGTTTTCAGGTTTTATTGCAGTGTTGGCACTTTGCGATAAAAAAGTGGGTTTTGGGTTGCAGTTTGGGCACTCGGTCTCTAAAAGGTTCACCCGCCGCTCCGTCCTAAAACCAGCTTCCAGCGGGCAAACCTCCGAATGCATTAAGGGCTGGTAGGAAAACGAGAGCAGAGCTGTGACCCTAATGGGCACTTAAGGGGTCTGCTTTTCTAATGAACCGAGTATATTTAAAGGACTCCTTTCCAGGTCAGCATCCCATGATATCCAGGAAGCCGTTCTCCTGAAATAGACAGGCAGGAAGCGGGATTTTGAAACTGGACGCATCCGTTCTCGTTTGAGAGGTGCTCTGCGTGCAGCGAGCAGGGGCCTCCCTGTGCTTCCCACCCCTGCTGTGCACAGGTTGAATCACCCATGATGGAGTCATTGCTCCTTTCCTTGCAGCGGTTCCTGATACCTGAATGGAAATCCCCCCCGTGCCTCTTTTGTTCCTTTCAGGCCGCTTGCCCTCCCGCTTCCTTCCCGGCGCGTCACCCGGCTCGCTTCATTCATAATTGATGCTTCGTAACCTAACCGTAGCCCAAGTAACCACCTTCCTTTCATTGTTTGCAGGCCTGCGAGGGAGGGAAGAAGTGTCGGCGTTGCAGCCGGACCTCCTCTGCGGAAGCCACCGCTCGGCCTGGGGCCTCCCGGGTTGCGGCGGGAGCGGCACGTCCCGGTCAGGATGGTCGCTGGGCCAGCCCTCGGCATCTGTCTCCTGGCCTTGGCGGTTCTGAACGTGGACGCCTCCTCATTCAGCAGCTGGTGGAACCTGGTGCCCAGGAAAACCGTGCCCTACAGCGGTGAGTGGGCGACTGTCTTTCGCCCGACAGAGAGAGGCCATGGGCTGACGGGCTTTGCAGCTGAGAGCAGGCAAAAGGCAAAGCAAAGCAAAGCAAAGAGGCAGCGGGGAAGGAGTTGCAGTTCATTCACAAGAGCAGTGCAAGGCTCCTGCTTTTAGTGCCCGCTCTCGTCTTGCCTGCAGCCCCGCGCGCTTTTCTCTCCTCCTTTTCTTCCATTCTTTGTAGAGAATCAGGCCGAGCGTCGGGGTGATCAGGAAGCGGATGTTTGCTCCCAGCAGTGAAGAACAAAGCACAGTCTTCTAGCCGCTTCACCATTCTGGCGCTCTCCAGACGGGTTGGACTGCAACTCCCATCCCAATCAGCTGGTCCAGTTTGGGATGATGGGAGTTGTAGTCCAGCACCTCTGGGGGCTGTTGGGTTGGGAGAGGCTGAAATGAACTGCTTCTGTGAGCAGTCCCAGTGAGTGGAACATGGCAGCGGTGGAAACACAGCATGCTGGGCGGCAGACAGCTGCAGGCCAGGGGTACAGAATCCCAGCTGCAGGGACCCTTTCTGGTTTGCCACACTCCCCAGTCTGGCAGTGAGGTGTAGTGGTTAGAGCAGTGATCTGGATTCAAGTCTCTGCTCAGGCATGGCACTCACTTGGGCCAGTCACTGCCTCCCAGCCCACTCACAGGGTCATGGTGAGGATAAAATGGAGAGGAGAAAGTTCATGTATTCCTCTGTCAGATACTTGGAGGAAATTCAGCATTTAAAGAAATAAAAGCAACCCCCCAACCCTATTCCAGCCCCCCAGGGCCCCCAACCAAGCCCCGAGAGCCTTCCCAGACCCCCTTCCTGCCATCACAGACAGTTTGTGCTTTCCCTCCCCATTCAGTGCTCTTTCAAATTTTGGTGGTCTTGTATCAATTAATGAACATATGAAGGCTTTATTATTTAAAGATCATTTCAAACAACAGTGATATTTTACAACTAAGTTTCTAGTACATGTGGCAGTGGGATGTGATTGGAATAAAAGTTAAAGCTGCATTGCAAAGAGAGTGCAGGGCTTTCCTCTTGGACAGTTTTGCTTTCTAAATCTCGTCATTTCTCAGAGCAGACCTGGACTTTCCACAGAAACACTGGACAGTCTGGTAGGAAAGGGCCAGGGAGTTCCTTGAATACCCTCCTCAATGCAGGACTCCGCGTCTGCGGAGCTCAATTAAGTCTCTCCATCTTTGAACCCCTTTGCAATCCGGTGCTTCACTCAGCTCCTTTTCCTAAGCACTGTGTTGGGTGTGCGGCTTTGATGAAAAGCTTGCACTAGTTGGATTGATGATTTTGCAGTCAGCCTCCCTTCTTGGGCAGATAACTTGTTTTTTTCTCTGCTGCCCTCGGAGCTTGTGCCCCATTGCAGCAGTAAGCCAAGTTGCAGGGGAGCTGAGGCCGGTGCCAGGCCCCCGGCCCCCGTGGTGCCGCCCTGGCGTGTTGCCTGCCGGCAGCGTGCCATTCCCCCGCGTTCTGCCTTCCGTAACCGCCTTGGCTGCTCTGGAGCACGGCAGGACATGGGCTGCGCCAGGGCTGCATCGGGGCGAAGGGAACGGGCATGAACAGGGTGGGATTTGGAGGGGGCCGGGGGGGGGCAGGGCCGTCACGCAGCAGCAGCGGATGAGGCACAGGCGAGGCTCGCTACTGCAGCCTGCCGGCCGGCCGGCAGCCCCTCTGCTTCTGCGAGCTGATTTTCCAAGGCAGGTGGGGACAAGGAGCTATTATTAACAGGCAAAAGTTCTCCGGGCTGTGAGCCTTAATCTCCTTGGCCTTTGCCCTCGGAGGTATGTCCTTCCTCAGGCCGGGCTCAAGGCAGGCCTCTCTTCTCCCAGCAGAAGGCTGCTCCGAGCATCAGGCCTGAGACTGGCTTCACATCCTTGCATGGCTCTGAGTCGTGTCCACAGAAGCTTGTCCCAAAATATATTCAGTCGGTCATTCATTCATTCATTCTATTTATATCCCACCTTTTTCCTTTCAAGGAACTCAGGGTGGCTGCATAATTCTCCTCCTCCTCCTCCTCCTCACAACAACCCTGTGAGGTAGGCTGGACTGAGAATCCCTAACTCTCCCAGAGTCACCCACTTGGCTCCACGGCTGAGCAGGGACATGAACTCAGATCGCCTGAGTCCCCTTCCCATGCTCTAACCAGTGCACAGTACTGCCTCTCACACTGGTTAAAGCGCTACGGAACACCTTCTCTTGCTGCTGGTGAGAATCCGGGCTGCGTCAGGGCTTCCACAAGCCTCACGTGGGACCCGTCCTTTGCGAAGGGACAGCAGGGCAGGCCAGCTGGCTGGCTGGAGCCGGCGATTTCGCGGGCCTTTCAGGAGGGGGCCGCCCAGCCCCACCCTGGCAGCAGGTGGGTGTTGGTGGCGGGAGCGGGTCCAGAGGCGTTCCCACCAAGCCTGAACTCTACCAGCCCAACCAGAATTTCACCCTCTTGGCCACCTGCCAAAGCCGGGGCACCGCCATGCCCTGCCCTGGCCCGCGAGTTTGCGCCGTCACGACGCGCTGGCAGCCGGGGGGCACGCCTGTGCCCTGTGTGGGGCGTGGGCCGGCATGTGCGGCCGACGTGCCGAGCAGTTCGCACGGCCTGGCCGGCTTGTCGCAGGGGATCGACGTGGCCGTGAGCTGCAGGGCGTGCCGGGGGGCGGGGGGGATGAGCTGCCCTGATACATATGCGGCCCCTGCGGACTCTGGTTCTGGGCTCTGGTCCCGGTCCAGCTGTCGGGGGACATACAGAGTGAAGCAACGCCCACTTTCTGAAAGGCGTCCATGCGCCAGTGTGTGTGATCGCTTAGCTGCTGTTGTCCCCTAAAGGAGAAGGGGGGCTGATTGCAAGGCAGAGCATACCTGGGCAGTGAGAAGTCCAGGATGCTGGCGCGATGTTTTCTAAAGGCAAGGAAACATCCCTTTTGCAAGCGTCCTTTTTGCTGTGTGTTATTCAGTGGCGTGTTATTTTGGGGCCTTAAAAAAAGCCCAAGGTGTGGGGTGGGGCAGAGGAAAGGTGCTCTGCACATGCTTGAAGGCACTCTTTGTGAACAGAACTTGGCAGCCACTGTACCCATGGGTTGCATTCTAAAGCCAGGGGGGTACCTTGGCACCAGGAACTGGACAATGACGGAGCAACCAGGAGGGAGGATACTGGGAGAAGCTGCCAGTACAGCTTTGAGTCATCCTTGAACATAGAACTTAAAAAACTACTCTAGCAGATCACAGATTTGGCCCCGTTAAATCACTTTTTAATGAATTGTACTCTTCCCAGAGAGGTTTTAAAGAACAATATATAAGTAAACCAGTGCTGCTCAGAACAGACTCCCCCCGACCCACATGCCCTCCAGATAGACTACAATCCCTATCATCCCCAGCCGTTGCAGCCCAACACCCCGGGGACACTCGTCAAGCAAGCCTTTCAGCAGCTGTCCTGCTTTCCAGGCAGGACAGGGGTCCTTCCCCACGGCCCCTGGAGACTTGAACCCGGGCCGCTTGCATCCAGCTGGGCCCTTGAATCGCTGCCCTGGGTGCCTGGGAGCGGAGCGAGGCGGCCTTGGGGCCTTGCTGTGGGGGGGGCCTTTGCCTTGGGCCGCCTGCACTGGGCATCCGTGAGCGCTCCCTAGCTGCTGATTCTTCCATGGCGTCGCCGGCCAGCCCTGGCTGCTGTTGATACTCGTTAGCGGTGGCGCCGTAAAGGCCGGGCAGGCAAGGCTGGGCTGCGGGTTTGCTTGCCCCGCTTTGTTCTGCTCCTCTCCTGGCTTCTTCGCGACATCTGTCCCTTTGATCCTGGTCGGACTGTCAACAAGGAGAGAGTGCAGTGCAAACAGAAGCGTTTGCGGCCTGGGGCCACTTTGGATGTGGGCTTGGCAAGGCTCACAAAAGACGTTAATTAAGCTGGGAGCTGGGCAAACAAGTGCTGTTAATTAAATGCACAGCAGGCCTGGATGCGGGCAGAAGCAGCTGGGACTGCAGAGCGCAGGGGAGGCTCACGCCTCCAGCCTGGAGAAGCCGGCGGCCTCAAAGCCGCTCAAGGCTAGTCGGGTGGCAGCAGGGGCAAGTGTGTTTGGCCCTTGTGCACGCCGCTCCTGCGGTGCGGGACCTCCGCTGAGGGTGGACCGCGGGCCCGGGGTGTCACCCTGGCTCTCGCGGACTCCCTCGTGCTTGGCCCGGCCTTGCGAAGTGGAGCAGGTTCCCGGTGGCACGTTTGCGGGATGACGGTTGCCTAACCGGGGCCTGTGCAGGGCTCTGCTCCTGGCGAGCCTTCTGGGTCAGGTGTAGCAGGTGAGATTACCTGCGTGTGGGGCAGAAGTGGGGCACTGCTAGCGGTTGGGCAGGTCACCATCCCTGGCAAGCTGCCTAGGCATGCCAGGTGAGCTTGCAAGGTGGACCAGAGTTCAGGGGCCAAAGCCCAGGGAATCCGATGCATTCCGCAGCGAAACGGATGCCTCACGTGTCCCCAGATTGCAGGTGAGCCTTCTCCGAGTTGTGCCGCTCAGGTGTGTTGGAACTGCACCTTCCATTGTTCCCAGCCAGTATGGCCTTTGGCCATGGCCGCTGCAGGTAGAGAAGGCTGCGGTGGGTCTTTCCCCCACCCACACGCTGGGGGCTCCTGCACAGCAAAGCAGGGACCGCTGGGACCCTTCTGGGGGGGTTGTATTCGCCGCAAGCTGCTTGCCGCCAAGTGGGGTCAATGTGCCGTTGCAGCTTTCCCAGCTGCTGTTTCTCAGAAGCGGGAGCGGCTGCCAGGGAACGAGCCCGAGGGGCCTGCAGGGCCTGGGGCCCTTTGGTTCATTCGGTGACCGGCCGGGGACTGAAGGCCCGGCTGGGGATAATGGGAGTTACAGTCCAAGACCATCTGAAGGGCTTCAGGTTATGGGACTATAGCGGTTCACGTGCCGTATTGGGATCCAGGAGATCGGAGTTCTAGTCTCCACCCTCAGCCTAACCTACCTCACAGGGTTGTTGTGAGAATGCAGCTG